TCTACACTGTCAAATTTCAAATGGAGCCAGGTAGTAGATCTTCATCTGCCTAGGAAATTTGCAGATATTTTAATCTGAAACTGTTTCAGTGTCATTATTTTGATACATTTTTTTCCCCGAAATATCTAGCTAGTCTCCAAAGGGAGGTGAAGAAGAATGCTTCTGAAAGTTTGGTAGCTAGGCATGCCTTTAAGGAAAATGCCATGTTCAGGTAAATACAAGTGAGAGGGAGCAGAAAATTAAACATTTCTGAAAATCTTGAGTTAGATATCTCAAATAACAAATAGACCTAGGAGAGTACAAACTGCACTTGTAAGAGAAGAAAGATACACATTCTATATTCAGCTATAGAAAACCCCTAAACCTGAATTATGATGAGAGTAAACCCTAGAATTTAGAGCTGTGGCATGATGCAATCAGCTTATGAACCACCACAGACTAACACTGAGACTCCTCTTACACATGAAAACACATGAAATCTATGTGGTAGGTGTTAAGTCTAAACTAAATTTTTGCTCCCATTATAATTAGTGGCATAAAATAAATATTTAAGAGCATGGAAAGAATCAACCTCTAAGTGTATCAGTTTCTATCCACTGACCATAAGAGACTCTTATGGTCTTAGATTTTAGACTGCTAGTGTCCAGCCTATCTGAAGTAGATCGTAAGAATATGTCTTAAGTTACGTCAGCATCAAGAAAGCAAACAGGGAAAGCCCATTGTGTAAGGACGAGTGCCACTGCACTGTTTACATCCATGCAGTTAAGCACTCTTTCTTCCTCCCTCCTTCCTCCCCGAAAGATCCAAGACCAGTGGCCTTATCCATGTTGCGTAATGGGAGCAGCCCTGACCCGGCTCTGTCCCAGTGAGCATGCCATGGCCAACACTGTGATCACAGGGCAGAGCTCAAGTTATACTCCTGGTCCTGCCCAGTGTATTAGCATGGACAGTTTCAACAACAGCTCCTCCAGGATGTCTGCAGGGCGAAGGCACGGTTTAAAGGGCTGTTCGTGGGCCTAGAAAACATTAAGAGCTTTAATCTGGATTCTTTCACAGACGGACCATGCGCCTTCAAATCACTCAAACACTTTTCAGCTCAGTTTCTTCTGAGCTACAAAGAATATTAATCTTCCTTAACAGGATTATTTTTGTGTGAAATATTATTGCTATGAGGATATACAAATCAATCTAAAAATATTGTTGCAATATAGATTAACTCTTACAGAGACCTCCGTTAATTGCGTCTTTTAAACTGCAGAATCTTCTCTCCCCCAAACGCACTCCACAAACAGTAGTTTGTCTTTATAGGACTAGAAAATCAAACTGGGCAGGGAAGAGATGAACAACGAACTCTAAGCACCGAACCACGGCTCAGGAGATCGATCTTTCCCAGTATTCTGCCGTGTCTCAGAGGAGCAGTATTCAATTTCTAGGACTCAGCCTCCCATCAATAAATAAGCTGTAATTTCCCATTGGGACAGAATCCACCTTAAGGTGTGTGAATGTATCCTGCACTCAAGAGACTTAATTTTGTTTTGCATCTTGGCTACTGTAGCAATGAAAGTGGCAAGGAAACACAAGAAAACATCAATAATCTTCAGAAAAAAAAGAACAAAAAGTCAATGTTTTTCAAAGCAATAAATAAAATAGATGTGCTATAAAAACAGGAACAAAAAGAAAGGCTTTAATAGCAATTCATTTTACCAAACACTTGTCAATAGCTCTCCTTATTGTTTATTTATAGTAGTGCAGGTACACACAAAAGACTATTGCTGAGTCTAATGAACACAAGTCTCAAGATAGAATTTAAACACAAACATGGGATTCTGTTTATGTCCTTAGGGCAAATTAATTGTAATGAATTTCCAGTTAGCAGTGGAAAATTAATTATTTCCTCTGTTAATGTTCTTTGCCTTACTCATTTTGAACGTTAATGGATCTCATTTTTATATATCATCATGCAGGCTGCTCAAATGTTGGGCTTTATTCCATGTAGACAGCATAGTAGAAATTTTGCTGCTTAGTCACTATTTGGATCCAGTGATACAGTGGCCAAACTGTAAGAGGCTGCACCACTTTCAAAAATTGCATTTGCTGGTGTTTAGATGCTAGAAACTATAAAAATAATAAAAAAATCAGTCTGTGGTCCTAATCACATTTTCTCTTTCATGAATCCATTAAAAAACCCCACTCATTAATGTGTCATAAATTGTAGCCTTCTTGTTAAAATGATGACCCAAGAAATAAATTTTTGAAGTTAATTTTTTAATCACAGTTTTTTATTAACAGTTTTCTCAGTTTATACTTTGGACATAAATACACAAGTTTTATGGCTCATGTTATAAAAGACACTGCTATTTATTAGAAAACATATATGGAATATATTGTAATGCTTACATTTGTTCCCCTTTTCTCCTATTTTTTTTTTCCATAAATTCTATTAATCTAGAAAAGCAGCATCAGAAAGCAAAATCCAACCTACCTAGCAGCATAGTCTACTACAGCTATGAAGACTATTTGCCAGCTGTAAAAGAACTTTTGGTGTCTGTTTTCAGAGTAAGGTAATGTCAGTTAGTGTTAGAAAATAAACACTGCATGTTGTGCTCAATTAGTTACTAGAAATCTAGTTTATGACAATGTGTATTTCTGTAACAAGACATACAGCTTTTCTGTTACTTTACAGCTTAGATAGATATATAGACAGTCAGACATAATGCTTATTCTCAAAATAGTATAATGTAAGTAAGAGACCCAGTTCTGTTCTTACTGAAGTCAGTGGCAAAACTCTGATGGAATTCCAAAAGAGCAGAATTGTACTTTGTAGAATTCTACAGTTGTATTAACAAAACTGAAGAAAACTACATTTCAGCTGGAAGATAGGGTGAATTTCACTTACAAGTTTAAAACTGGCATACATTATTGCTAGCAGATCCTGTAATAATTCTATGCATGGATTTCTAGTTGATTACGTGGTGGACTTAGCTTACTATTCCTAGTGATTAAGACCCATGAGAGAGTGGGCATAATTCTTCCGCCCCGAAAGCAAGGAAATGGAATTCCACACCTAAGGAACATACGGAATCAAACCTGTAATCTTTTTACTGCAGTGAAGCAAAAGGATATTACATATGCCTTATAAACAGAAAAATCTCTTTAACATTTTTTCACTATACATACCTTAAACTGTACAGCTTAGTACTTCCACAGAGCGGGCAAAGAGCAATTCCTAGGGCCATAGCTATGGAAGAGTGTAAAAAATGCAACTGTCCTTGATCTCTCAAGGCCAGACAAGATCAGGCACTAGGCCACGAAGAAGAGGAAAGGTTGAGCAAAACTTGCCAGCAGGCTCATTTAGAGGCATTCAACTTTTTTTTGCACCAGGACTCATGCTAACACTAAAGCCATACCAATGATGACAACACCACTGAAGTTGTGAGATACACAGAGAAAGACAGAATAAAAGCACAAAGAAGTAATGAAGACCCTAAGCCTATAATCCAATCCATAACAAAAGTCCATCATGACTCACAGAAATCCACGCTGTCTCTTACGGATCAAGAATCTTCCTATTCAGATCTGGATGCAGGATGTGGCCTGAACTCTACTGAAAAGGAAGCTGGGTAATACGTTATTTCTCAAAGGTCCTTTTTGCTGCCATCTAGCAGACAAGATTCACTGTATAAGTATGCCCTGTGTCCTGCGTACTTTGTGTCCTGTGGCAGGGAAGACACAATGTCATAGTGCTGCTCTATCCAACTTAGTGAGTCAGCCCACCCACTGATTTTTGATTCACCTTGATACTGATTTGCTTTCTAGAGCAGACAGAACGAGCATTTAGAAAGGTGTGAATCTGCTGCAAAATAAAAACAAAAAATCAGTAATATTTAAAATATATATATGTATTTTAAACTCTATCTTATTTTGAACAAAATAATTTGCAGTCTCTAGTACTGTTTACCTTGAAATGTAACATGGGAAACACTGTGCTTATGGTTGATGTTGACTCAAACTAGGCATACTGAAACAAAACATGGTGAAATCAAGGCATTCCTAGTAGAAATCACAGATACAATTTGAGAGCATTCCACTGGAATAAAGTCTCAATGCAATCAGAAGTTACACTTAATTCTAATCAATGCAAACATTTGACATATGCGCTGCATCAGATATATTTCTTTTATATTTTACCGAACTGACCATTGCTATTAGAGTTTTTAATATATCCAAATGAAACTTAACAGTCCTAAACTTTCTGTATCTTTCAGTCTATTGACAAAGGAAAAGGACATCCCCAGTGAATCTACTCAACATGCTATTACAATTAAACACATATTTTGATTGAAAAATGTGTTTCCTCATCATTTTTGGTAATGTTTGAGCTGACGGCTTTGTTTGATATTCCACATGCACAGAGACAGAAAAACACTAGCACAAAAAGCAATTTTAGTAGTAATACCAAATTCAAAATTCCCTTTGGCAATATGTTGGTTCATTAAGAGGATTAGGTTTCCATTTAGAATTCAGCCCTCTACTACCAGAGCAACTCTTTGCCCCACTGAGTGAAGAAATGCAAAAAGAAACTCTGCACAGTATTTTGACAATGTCCATTTACGAGACGATACCCTTCTGAATTTCTGGGTGAAAAGAGGTGACCACTGCTCAGGTATGATCATATCCTTGCTGTCTGCAGTTGTTCAGGGACATTACGTGAAAGGTGTTTACTGAGGCTGCGGCACAAATCAAGTGAAATGAGTACCCACACTGATTACGTGCACTCCCTACAGGTACTGCAGTATTAGCACATTTCTGCGTTCGCTGTTAATTTACTGGACCGCCATGCACTTCTTCATGTTACACCTGCTTCGCTATTACAAACTGCCAACGCACACCTGCTTAAAAATGGCATAAAGTCTATGCCTAGCTTTGATAGTGGGTGCAACTTACACTGCCAGAAAGAGAAGGTGTTAGCAGCACTAGAACGCACGACTGCTCTGTGTCTATTTTCTATTTATCCTAAGCCACAATGTCCTAGAACTTTCTCTGTACAATGAAGGTGAGTCACAGACACATTGCACCTACCAAGAAAATTAATGCACTTCTTTATCCTGCAAAGTTCTTCAATAATACTGAGCATTAGAAATAAAACATACATTTTCTATGTCAAAATAAACAACTATCCATCAATTAAGAAAACTGACTTTTGAATGTTTTCTGTTCAGACCAAACTCAGGCTTGTAGAATTGTTACAAACTATTATAGAGACTACCAAATTAATATTAGCTTGTATTAGAATATTTATTGTTTAAAAATATTTGCTAATTTGTTAAAATCTACAGTCCATGCAATATATCCCTTTGGAAAAAGAAATAAACAGCTGATTTACATAAGCAAAAACCAGCAAGTGACATGGCATGTGTTCCTTCCCTTCCCTAAGTGCTATAGAATATAATGATAATATTTATAAATGTGAATATAAATAAGGTAGAGATTCTAAAACCATTAAAAAGGGTCTAACAAATTCTTTGTGTTTTAAGTATCAAAGACAGCATCAACAGCTGAATGTTTTCCAATAACCTAATACTGCAGAATGTTCTAAATACGTGAAAACTCTGTCTTGCAGTCTTTAATCATGTGATTAAATTCTAGTGACATTGCTCCCATGTGTAAAGTCTATCAGGTTGTGTCCTAAGCCGGCATTTGCTGTAAAAAGATTACATCAGGCTTTTTTTTTTTTTTTTTTTTTTTGGTAATAAGAGAAGATATCTTGGACTTAATTTACTTAGATATTTAATAGTGGGATTTGCCAAACCATCACTGAAGACACTAGTTCATTGATTAAATTCTAGTGACATTGCTCCCATGTGTAAAGTCTATCAGGTTGTGTCCTAAGCCGGCATTTGCTGTAAAAAGATTACATCAGGCTTTTTTTTTTTTTTTTTTTTTTTGGTAATAAGAGAAGATATCTTGGACTTAATTTACTTAGATATTTAATAGTGGGATTTGCCAAACCATCACTGAAGACACTAGTTCATCTTGTCGCTGCTGCTTGCTCTTCTTGTTCACTCTTCTGTGTCCTTGACCACCAGAAATAACTAATACTGAACTTGCTTTCATTTTTTTGGATCTCTGCCTTTTACTTTTAGATGAAATATTCTGATCCTTCAAAAGCTCGTAAATGTTACTGTCCTCCGGTCTATGTTCTAGGGAACTCGATCCGTGAGACAATGTCAGGGATCCAGAAGATGAAGACAAGTCACTTTTTTGTGTAATGGATCCTGCTGCACCTCCCAGCCAAATCGCAGTATCGTGGGTATTACTAAGGGAAGAACCTGGTCTCTCATTGTGCAGAACGTTCTTTTGCTCATCTTCTTTGGATTCTGAGCTGGGAGGCAGACTGTTCCTGGATTTGTTTTTGTTTTTCTTGTTTATAGATGCAGCCATTACAAGAAACTTGACTGGACCATTGTGCGCATGATATGACACCATTCCTCTTCCTGGAGAGGAAAAAAAAAAGACAATCAAAGAACATCAAGTATGTATTTTGGTTTTTTTTTAACCACAGAGCTCCACCGCAATTATTTCAGAAAAGCGTAACTCCTAAAACCCATGCACCATTCTGTTTTTAGCCCTGTAGGTACACAATTTACAGAAAAAAAAGTACCAAACAAATCTTACGTGCCATAAAGGTATTTTAGGACTGTATTAAAAATCAGCTAAAACAGAACCTTCTGAGTTCAAGCTGACTTACTTTTGTGCTCTGTTTTCACAACAGCATGAGCACAGAAACTCTCCGCTATCTTCTTTTGGTTGGCATTGTCGCAAGCATAATATTGCAAGTGTTCTCCAATAATCCACAAACAAAATATCTAGTTTTCAATTACATCTGTTGTACCTTTCCAGAATAGCGTAAGAACATCTGTTTCATTGTAATAGACTTTTCTACACTGTAAAGCAGGAAATAAAACTCATCGTATAAATGGTTGTCTAGTTATCATGGTAGATTCATAAGGCAATGAGTGAGTAATTTCAATTTAAATTTGTAAAGAATGTAAACAGTGGGATGTTAGAGGTATAAGGAAGTTTTACACTGCGCAAGTTGTAAGACTGTATGAGAAATACATTGCTTAGGACCAAATTCAGAAGCTATGACATTATGAGTATATGTGGCTTTTACAGCAAAAAGAAGAAAAAAAATGCAGCAGCCTTCCAAATAAGCTACAATATGAAAAAGAGTTAGCCTACTGAAAAAAAAAAAAAAAACGAGCCCTATAAATCACCCCATTCATTCCAAACTTCCTAATACATTGTAGGTTATGATAAAAAATTATTCTGCCTTAACAGAAAGTGCATTGATATAAAGAAGAATTGTCAATATGAGAAGCACTATTAGAAAGTCACAGTTTTTCAGCTCAAATTCCAAATACATGGAGGATTATGTATATAGATCTCCAAATACAATGTTGCTAGATCTGTGAAATTTGACAGATCTTGACCCCCCCCAAAAAGTTAAGAATATACAGGGGAGTTAAACCACAATAATCAAAACAGAAAATGGAATAACAGAATGAGAGAAGTTTTGATTCTGCAGCAATGTATTTTCTTATATTGCACCTATTTTTACAGATTTTTTTTACAGATTTTTACACAGGTTCCATAGATTCCATGTTTTGTTCAGAAACATTTATCCATTATCATACTGGACTATTGCTGCATATTTTGCTGAGCACAGCAGATTTAGTTTTCATTTTGGCAAAGTTACCTAAGTTTTCTGTTTGTTTGTTTTTGTTTTCATTTTTGCTGAAGGAAATTACACACCGCTTGCCTTAGAGAATCTGTCAGCTTCCCTCCTCAGCTTCTGAGCTCTGGCAGAATTCTAAAACCAAAATGTAGCTTGGCAAAGGTCCCATTAAACACACTTTTAAAAACTTGCTTCTGCTGTAGTTAAAACACTTGCAAAATGATCCAGCAGCGTTCATATGTTTGCACTTGAAATGCTATAATGTGAAAATAACTCATAAAATCTTTTCTACAAAATGCAAAAATAATGATCATTGTCAAAAAAACTGAAATATACACTGTCATACATTTCAAGTCCACTGTTTTGGGGAGAAAAGGAACAACAACGATTTAGTGAATAAGCAGTCAGAGAATATACTGAATTTTCAGTACCTGTCTCCTGCCTAATGCATATATTTTCCCCAAAACCGGAAGAAAGATTTTTCGGACTTTCTTCTCATCCCCACACATTAGACTCTACTCTTGACAGGACTGATGTCTATCCTATTTTTGCTCCCTAAAGAATAACCATTGCTCTGCATCAAATACCAGAGACAAAACTAGACAAGCGTCTGGACATACTGTAAAGCTAAGGAAGAACAACAAATACGATTTCATCACAAATCTGTAACATATATCTAAATAATACATATAAATTTGCTGATTCACTTAAGCTACTGACAGAAGACAAATGAAGTCTTCAGGATAAAACTGTTCTACACAATCCATTTGAGAAATTTCACTCACCAGTTACTTTGGGAATCCCCTGCAAGCGAGGCACTGGCAATGCTACTATTATACCCAGATTTGTTCCAACCAGTAACAAACCATGGCATACCAGGAGGCTGGTCACAGAAACACGCTGCTGCCCTGTGAAGTTTAGGAAGCGCTGCATTACTTACGAGTGACTATTTTTGCTTAGAACAAAGTAACCTCCAGTAAACACAATTAGCTGCCTATAGTTATACTGTCACAATCTGATTCAGTAAACCGCTTAGCAGAAGTGCAAATACGTTGCTGGATTGTGGTATTAAACTTTACCTGCGTGACAATTTAAATACTACCAAACTTCCGAAATATTTTGTTGTGAGATCTCTAAACCACAGGATCTAGACACAGATTATTTTCACAAATACACTTTTACAAATAGATCATGTTCTTATATTCTCAGAAATAAAACTGCAAGACATCGCATTTCACAATATTCAATAGCATATTATAGTAACACACTGTATTCAAGACTCAAACCTGTTTACGATTACTTTTTTCTCTTAGTTTTCATTTTGTGAGACTGTTCCCAAAGTGCCGTATCCAGGTTTGGGCTCCCCCACACAAGACAGACATTGGCATACTGGAACAAGTCCAGTGGAGAGCTACCAAGATGACTGGGGGATGGAGCACATGGTGTGCAAAGAGAGGCTAGAACTGCTGTCTACATCCTTCTGTTGAGAGGGCATACACAAGACAGGCAGACTCTACTCAAAGGTGCACAGTGGCAAGATAAGAGGCAATGAAACAAAGTTGGAACACAAGAAAATCCAATCAAATGTAAGGAAAAGCTTTTTCAGCATGAGGGTGGTCAACCACTGGAACAGGTTGCTTATGGAGGCTGTGAAATCTTCATCCTTGAAGACATACAAAATCTGGCTGCAAAAATCCCTGAGCAACCTGATCTAATTGGGTGCTTCAAGTAGAAGGACACATGAGATGACCTCCGGAAGTCCTTCTCAAATGAAATTATTCTGTGACTCTACAAGTTACTATTTATGGGACTGCTGTTTTCCTTATGGAAAACAAAGTCATCTTCGCTTACAATAGAAGACTAAAGATGATTGATTCCACTTAGCTGGGTTTTCAAAACGTCCTTGACAAGTTTGGGAAATGGAAATGGAAACTACTACCTGCCCAAACTTCTACCGTGACCCAAGTTTATGTGGATAGGCAGTTGAACTCCACTGAAGTCCTCCAGGCTCAAAAGCTACATGTTCTTGGAATTATGATTACCTTCACATGCTATGATAGCACTGATTCCCATCTTTATTATAACAATCAAGTTGTTAATCACTTCATCAGCACGTAGAGAATTTGCTTTCCACATACTATACAGCCTGGATGAACCCACGTGTTCCACACTTTGGAATACTAGCTTAATTACAACATATCACAAGCGAGCGCATTTTCCATCTCTCTCCTTGAAGCTGAGCCAATTTCCAGCCAAAAACACATGAATCACAGACCCAGTGGAAAAGCAGAGAAGGAGCAGCCAGACTGTAGCCCAAAGGTTAAAGCGCTCAACTGGAAAGCAGTAGGCAGACCAGAGTTCAAGACCTCACAGAACTTTACAAATAAACAAAATACTTATCTTGCAATGGTCTAGTGTAAAAAGCATACATAGGCTCCAGAGCTGGATCTGAAATATCAGTTCTGTCTGTTCTCAGTGTACCCTAAAGTCAAGATGATTAGGTCACTCCTCCTGCAGATGCAGTAAGTATGAATACATTGAACAGGATCCATCTACTCCTGCAGGTCATCAGCAACACCTACATTTTCTCAATTAACTGCATTAAGTATCTGGTAAGACTACATTATCCTCCTACAGATGGTCTTCATCTCTGAATAGATTACAAGTCTTTTAAAGCTTGATTTTTCTACATGAGGAATTAATGAGATGAATTTAGTTTTCAAAACAAAGTACACAAAAGTGCTCCTGCCACACTAGCTAGATGGACAGCCCTTTGGCGGGGACTGAAAACTGTACGTCCTGATATAGTCAGAGGATAGAGAGCATTAAGATGACCAAAGACAAACGAAAAAAAAAAAAATGCATCAGAACCCAGAGTGAGGATACAGATGCCAGCCCTAATCTACATTTGAGAGTCAAAAAGCCACTAAAATTCCCACAATAAAAATTGCTTGTGCTGTTTCTAAAACAATACATATAATGCATAGTATTAGTTTCCTTGGCTGTCTGCTATATGGACTTTCCAAGTATCTTTATAATAGTTCAAATGCAGATGTCCAAAGACCTCTCTGTATCGTGGAGTTTTCAAAAATCAAGATCTGAATTTTGTGATTTAGAGCATGTCAAGTTATCACGATGTAGTGAGGGATCTCCCACAACGTGGGCCACAGCGCATGCAAGGTAACTGCAGCTTAGCTTAGTTCCGCTCCCTTTCACTTCAAGCTTGTTTTGCAATGTGCAAGCAGAAATACTTAAGTATAATTTTAAAATTTTTCAAATTGTCAAAACCTCCAATTTTACATTTGCCTAGCTAATCACTTTCAGGAGCAAGAGGCTCACAATTTTAAATAATAGATCTTTAATGCTTTTTGGGGTGTTTAAAATGTAAGATAATATGCATGCTTTCATACACCAACCCTGAAGCAAACTCTAACTGGAAATTTGCATTATTGTTTCAAATTATCAGCCAGCAACTTAGAATCTTAAACACAGATGACAAGCTATGCATGAACCATCTATAGCGAGGTCAAAAGGAAAACTGTTTGTTTTCAAATCTTGGAAAAGCAGGAAACATCTGCATCTGAAAATACACTTTGAAATAGCATATAATAAAACAAAAATGATAAATAGATAAAAGTACTTATTAAAAATATCAATTTGTTATCTGCTAACCATGGTTTGAAATCTTACTTCTCTGTGTTATTTTTTTACTTTTTATTTTGATTTTCCACTTCAGAGAAAAAATGAAAACCAAAATCTCCCGAATGTGTTGTGCAGTAAGCACTGGAAAAAAATATCAGTGGTTATGAGTAAGGGAAAGTGATAAATATAAATGCCCAAAACAATCAAGTAATCTTACCTTTAAATGAAAACTTTCAAACATGCTGCATCAATGCAATGACGAAATTGTTAAACTTGTAAAATAATGTAACCAAGAACTTGATTCTGCCAAGAACTGAAGCCAATGTTTAAGTTTATACATGGAGAAATAGTTTTATTGACTATGTTTCTGCTCTGTGTTCACCTCTCTCAGGCCCCAATTTCTGACACAGGCCCAACAACAGGATCTGTGTCAATCCTTCTGTGTTCCCACACAGGTCTTTTGAATTCAGCCCTTCGTAGGTGTAAGGGCATACTGGCACATATTCTCTTACATGATTTTGCTGTCGTAGTTATATAAAAAAATTGTCTGAAAGAACCCACCGTACAAATCTATTGAGGTGACCTAAACTTTTCCCCATCTTTTTATCATCTCACAGCAGTAAAATCACAATGCAACTGTGTTTTATGGGGTGGCAGCTGGTGGGCTGGGGACAAAAGAAAGCTGCAGTGCTCAAAGGATAGTTTGTTTTCTGCAGAGAGGAAATGATATATTTCTTTGCTTTTCTCATCTGCTTCCAGGAAACACACATGTACCATTAGAGGATATATGAGTATAAACAGAATACAGCAACATAAACGGAAATCACCTCTTTGTTGATTTCCTGTCATCATCCATAGGAGCAAAGGGATTACACATATCATGGTCATAATCTCCTTAAAAGGATAAATTCTGTTGTAGTTGAAAGGAAAAATGTTTAAGGATATTTTCTGAATAATGAAATATTGAGCGTGACTATGACAAAACAAGATTGTTAATAACAAGTGGACTGTGTATCCGTGTTCAGTATGATTTTTCACTAACCAGGCCCTGCGAGCTGTGAAAAGGCTGCTGCAAAGTTGCCTTTGCTGAGATGTGAACTACAGATCATGAATGCTGAGTGCAAACTTGCTAGGTAAAATAGCACGATGCATTAGTCAGGTGTTCATATTGCACTGGCGTTAGTGAGGTGTCTTCAAACGTTAACAGACTGTTTCTGCTGCTCAATATGACCCCTGTTCAGAAAGCAGAGAACTGCGCTTAAGCCACTAAAAAGCAATTTAGCTCTACTGCGTTTAGTGAAAATAAACCTTTGACAGTGAAATAAAGAGTTACCAGGACCTATAATGATGATGATGATGTCCTTCATCTCAATCATTCTCTTCCTTTATCATATTGTATCTGTGCTTTCTGGTGTTTTACTATATAATATAAACTTGTTACACAGTACTGGGAAGCATTTTGCGGCGTGTAGTTTTGATGATATATGTGGAGTGGTTTTGTGGACCACTCTGGATTAAATGTCTATCCCGTAGTTGCCTCAGTGACCAAGGTTTACCTCCCAGTCCCAAGTTCTGCATACAAACTTCCCATAATTCCAGAAAGTGAGGGCCCTCCTAGCTCCTTTCTTCATCTACAGAGTTATGTTCAGTAGACAAAAGGATCTGATAGACACATTTATATCTCCCTGATTCTGAGAGAGCCAACACTGCCATCAGTTTCGTCGCAGACCAGGGCAGTTTGGAGTATCAGTTACATTACTTATCGTACATGGACTACATATTGACTGAGCACAACCATGCTCCACTAGGCTTTGCAGAGACACAGCTGATAGAGGGTTTTCTGGGCTACTGTACTCATTCAGTACCAGCTCAGATCTCTCAACAGTTTAATCATAGTCCTCTTTTATGTCATTTAGCTGGCACATGCAACGTAAACATAATCAAAATCTGATCTACAACTGGGTGTCATTCTCCCAGTCAAGCTGTCCTGTCCTTAGCCAGAACTTTGTAAACACAAGATGTATAAATGAATTCTCCGTAAATGAATCACGATAAAGTACTCGATTTAGAAAAAAGTAATTGTTGGTTCATGATTTGGGGCTCTGTCTGCTTTTTTACATTACTAAACTCTGCTGAATTGTAACGGCAATCAGTTTCTGTGTCCTTTCCCTTACACTTCATTCTTCTGTGACTGTCCTACCTGGTGTGCTGCAGGGCTATCTTTCCTAAAGCAAAGCAAGGACATCCTTTATGATATTTAAAGCTGTCTTCTCCTAACAATAAAATTCTGAAAATTTAATGCTATGTACTATATGAGAACTGGTTATTAATATTATGAGAATTGACAACTAATATTATAAGAACTGGTTACTCTAGCTATACTTCTTTGTAACTCACAGTGACCATTCCTGACACGGTGACAGTAAATTTTTCTTTTAGTCTCACTGTATAATAATAAAATAATTATAATGTCACTGACTTCATGGGTTATGTTTTTCTTATTTATGTTGCTTTAAATGAATACGCAATAACATCTCCAGGTAGCCAGTCGAACCAATATTACACATTGTTGCTGCTACCAAAATTTGGCAGAAGGATGCCAGTTTCTTGGAAATTTTATCATGATCTTGCACTACCTTCTTTCATCTCGTTAATGTCTCTTCTTAAGACCCTTAGCAATATTTTTACACCAATTTCTTCTCTTCTCAGTTCAATACATCATGCTTTTTTATTTATCTTCTCTTTTTGGATATTAAGGAACACCTGTTGGGTTTCAGAAAACTAATAAAGCTGTTTCTTTTAAACAAAAAGATCTCCTGTAGCACATGCAGCACTTCTAAATCACTGAGTCCCAAAAAATCTTCACATTTTTAAAATATGAAGCCACTTATTTATTTATTTATTCATTTATCTTTTTAAATCACAGTGTATACTATACAGAGTTTGGCTTATTGCTGCTATGGCTATTTTTAGTTCCAAAAGGCTCTTACTACTTTTTGGTTTTTTTAATGTAAGCCTCCTACTCCTCTGTCTTTTAGCCTTTATTGTTGTTGCAGCATTTTTAGGATCATAGAAACAGACCCAAAAGCTGCTGCTAAATAACTGAAATTCATTTCATTTTTTGAATGGATTCTTCCTCTAGAACATTTGCTGTAATACTGTTCTGCTCCTGAAATAAACTTCCATTCACTGAAGTACTTTTTGTAGAGAGAGAGAGAGAAAAAAAGTAAAGACAAGAAACTTAAATTGATAAGAATGACACCACAGAGATATAATTAGCTAAAACTCTTCTACAAAAAAAAGATCATCTATTACATCAGCAGTTTTATTACCATGGCAATGCACACAGAAGCTAAGCAATTTTGAAGATTTTTATACTCAGAAGACGATATATAAGGGAAGCCCTACCTTCTTTCTATAAACAGCAGAAAATATTAAAAGTTAATCTTCTTTTTATACCAATCTCCATTTCTTTGCATAACTGGGATGAATTCAATAAAATGACCTATTTAAAGGCAGGACATTTGCTGCTGTTCAGTGGTGGAACTACATTCAAACAGCAAGTGTAAAAAAAACACCCTATATAGAACACTGTAAAAATGGACACAATTTAAAATAGAGCTTTACTGCAAAGCTAACGTGGTCTGAGAGAAAGCATGATAAGAAAAGAGAGACTGAGGAAGTGATACATCTTTTGATATAAAATTTATACCTTACTCTTGTAAGAAAATAAACATAATCGCAGTGCTGGAAGAATTACGCCTCTGCTGAAAGTAAAATAATATAGCTGGTGCACACAATAATACCTGCAGTGGCTGGGTCTATTGCACTCAAAGGGCACTTACTTTGTAGGTCACATGAATCTCACATCAGTTAGCTCATTTATGTGTCTACAACCAACACTGGAACTCTATAAAAAGGGAGATAAAGAAAGCACAGTTGTCCCCTCATGGACAACTCACACCCAGCAGTGCTGGTACCTCTTTCCTGTCTGCCTCTTTGCTTAGCATTGCTAAGCACAGGGCACTTGCTGGCTCTGAGGGCCAGGCAAAGCCAGCTCAGTGCACCATAGGCCAAAGACATCCCAAAGCCTCTGCTCTCCAGTGCTATATAGGGCTAAGATCCATACTAGCCCACAGCAGTCTGTCAATAACACCGGTGCTAGGCACTGGAGAAAAAGTAATAGAAATGGGTTTATTTCACTTAAGCAGTTAACCTAATTAATTGCATAAAGAGTCCTAGCTACTCACTAGCAAAACTGATACAGGTCACAGCAACTGTCTAAAACACTGATGGTTTTGGGATGGCAGAACAGCTTCTGTCCTAAAACACATAAAGATCTGTTGAACTTTATCCTAACAACTGCAGGTTTCATCTTTACTTACAAGACTAACCTTTTAATTAAAAAAATTAAAGCTCCAATCACCAAAACACTGAATACACTCCTAAATGGAAGCATGTGAACAGTTCAACTGACTTCCCTGGGACTACTGAAGTACTTAAAGTTAAGCGAGCACTTCGTTGGTCTGGATCCTAGGCAACTGAACTCCCTCAGGTGCTTTGATACCAAGTTCCAGAAGCAAACACTGAGCTTTGCAAAGCAAACATTTTCAAGATAGACTGCACTGCCCTATTCTTTTAGGGTTGCAAAAAAGAACAGACAAAACTGGAGAATCCACTTGCTCATCTAGATATAATCACATTTATAACCTCTAACGAGGAGAGCTGCTCACTGCACACATTGTTCATTTGAGCAGGCGAGACTACAGTTTACCAAAACAAAGTGTTGCAAGATAGTTATCAGTCTTAAAGTCCAAAATAAATGCTCTGGCTCTGGCCTACATCTGCAACACTCTGGAGAATAGTAGTGATAGAGACAAAACAAAAATGTTAGCATACGACGTGATTCAGGTACCTGGCAACATATTGTGAACAGGCGTGGCAATGTTAATGTCCTGGAGGTGTTTCAGGGTCTCAGTGTGGAACAGGCGAAGTGTAGATCCAGACGTGAAGGCGATCCAGATGCCTACGCCAGCAACAGCCATGTGAGAGATTACCATCCCTTCTTCCTGATGAGCTTCAAAATGGGTCTGTAAGAAAAACAAGAAATCCCTGAGAAGATGCAACTGAACTGCATCATTTAGCCTTGTTCATCAGCTCTTCAGTGTTGGCACTTTTATCTTTGTTCTCCTTGTTGAATACCAGCAAGCTTTCTTCAGTTAGTTCATGATATGTCTTGACTGCTGTTTATGATGTGTTATTTTTCTTGTTGCTTTTTTGTTTTTTGGAAAATGAATCATCATTACTATAAAAGGATCCTCAGCTTTTGAATAAAGGTTCCAACTTACGATAGACTAACTTCACAGTCACTTACATAATGTATTTATAAGACATATTGCGTGGTGGAAACCAGCAACTCTGTATTGGCAGAGACTTAAAGAAATTTTCTATTTCTTTATTGATACTCCCCTGGGAAAACTAATGCATACAAGAAGCCCCGGAGTGGACAGATTTTTCTGATGTGTTGCTTTTATCTGCAGCACAACTGCTGTTCCAAATAATGCCAAATACTTCTGTTCTGTGCATTAGGGGGTCATTTCAGAACAATAATAATTAAATTAAGGAATAAATCATCTTTAGAAAGTAGAATGTTTCTGAATATATATGCAGCATTACTTGCTCAGCCACATACATAATCACGTGAGCCTTAATATTGTGGCTTGCTTTTTGACTCAGACATTTCTGAATTTCCTAAGTATTAGCTATTTCATTATTCATTTTTATTATTTCATATTTCAAAATATTTATGATAGTTGTTAGAAATGCCAGAATCCACCTTCTGAAGATATGGAGCAATGCAAGACTTTCAGGATAGACCTTTTTCCTTGGTCAAGCACCTTCACAGTTACAACTTCTGCATGGCTCCCAGGAAGGCTGAAACCTGTAGCCCGTATCAAAGTGCAAGAGAAAGCTGTACTAAAGTTCTTTAATCATTAATATGAACTAGGGAAGGTTCCCCCCACCCCCTCGTTTTTGTCTTGTAAGTAAACTGCCTCTGAAGTGAAACACAGCCTTTTAATGTTGTGCCAGCTATTATCGTATATAGACAGCTATTCCGATAAACATAAAAATTCCTTGGCTAAACAAATGTCAAACTGTTCCTTGGATACCTACCTTCCTTGCGGGATACGGAAGTAAGTAGGTGCTCTAATATCCACAACACAGATCACACACTTTTAACTAGATTTGCACATAAAAGGCAAAATTCCCCCTTCCTCCTTGTTGAAAGCACCCTTAAATTTTCCCTGTGTTGAGAGTTACATTTTGGTCATTTAGCATCCAAATCTAAATCACACATTTTTCAGGCTAAGCTCTTTTCTTAGTCTAAGATAATTATCCACTGAAAATACAAAGGATAATAGATATATAGTTCAATTTCTGCATCTAAATTCAGTGAACAGATTACAATCATAGATAAAAGATAGAACTTTAAGCTTTCACAGATTGCAACTTTTGATATTATACGTGAGGCACTTTTTTTCCATTTTATTACTGAATATGCCAAAACATTATATAAATTGGTTCTTTCCACTGACAAGATGACGGCTTAAAAATAAGAGGAAAGATTTTTATATGTTCATTTGATTACGCTACTCTTCAAGTGTTCGGTTTTCAGGAAATGAACAGAGAAGTTTCCTTTAGCTATTAGCTCCTTGTTCAGTTCTGGTGAGTGTTGCTGTATTACCTTTTCCCTCTTCTAATAACGACACTGTAGAATGCAAGTGAGGCACCTCTGACACGCATATTTGCTCTTTTCCTCAAATAACCTCTATTCATTCGTTATCAAATGATACGTGCCATTTACAAATCATACACTTTATTCAACAGAAGAATTTATCCACAGACAACATCTCTCAGAGCAGACATAGGTCTTCGGACTAAATTTCCTGATTTTCTCATAACGCATCGAAAGGCTTTATGGCAAATAGGACTTCAAAATAATAACCCTTGCTTACAGAATCATACTTTGCTACTCTCATGACCAACCGGCTTTTTAAAACCTTCATGGGGACTGATCTAAGGCCACTGAAATCAATCTGACCAGCCACTGATAGTGTTTGGAATTAGAAATGTAAATCAGTTCATCACAAAAAAAATAATTTTCTTTGCAATGTTCTGACCGTACCACAGATGGCAACTCTGTTAGTACCACTGTAAACAACTTGCACATGCATTTTTGCCACATTCCATATGTACCAGCTAACTCATTATACTCCCACTCTGTCCTGCAGTTTGTACAGCAGTCTGTGGAAATATTCAGAGACATTTAAAGGAAAACTAATGTTTTCACCATCACAAGAAGCATTTAAAAAAATAATTATTCTCTTTCAGAGGGTCTTCTAACACAGAGAAGGAGCAGGAAAGTTCCCCAAACTTGGACATTCTTTTACAAATACAGAAATTTTTGTATTGGGGATAGTTTTGACCTCTATTTCAATTACAATTCTATATGAAACCCAGTACCTGGGCTTTTTCTTCAAAGGTTTAGGTTTTTTTTCCTCCTAACAAGAAATGCAGATACAAAGGGACAAAAACGTCTTATTCCTTTTTTTATTAAAAAAAAAAAAAAATCTGAACTTCATTTTACATTTCTCCTTTGGTTTTCATGCCTAAATTCCAGTCTGCTTTCTCCTCACAGTCTATTTTTTTCTTTTCTTTTCTTTTCCTCCCACTTCTGGCTCTCTTATTCAAACTCTATAGCAACACCTGAGCTGCAGAACGCACTCAGGTCGCCACAGTAAGTCTCTCCTGCAGCAGAGGCTGTCACGGCTCACTGCTGTTTCAGCAGTATGGCACATAGCTCGAATCTTTCTTTTTAGGGGTTGCCTACTCGCACAGTTGTGATTCCAGGGCCAGACAGCTGTGCCAAGAACTGAACCATGATTTCTCAGGCTCAGTGAGAGGTACATAATGGGTATCATTGTTCACACAGTAAAGCAAATGAGTTCCGCTACTCTGAAGAGGTTACAGTACTTGGGCAACGCACACTTAAAGGATAGGGATTTTTGTTGATTGAACTGAGCGTTTCAGCTTGCTCTACTTAAATCGTTAAAACTAAAGTAACTCATCTATAATAAGCCAAGTTTTAAAAACAAGACAAAACTACAGAGGATGGAACACAATTCGTTTGGTGACTTTTATTCTGCTAAATATGCAGAGATTTTGTTTGTTTTTAAGGGTCTACATGCACAGAGACTGCTACAGGACCAAGCTCTGTACCCAACAGCAAGATAACAATTGTCAGACCGAGGGTCAAGCCTCAGGAGAAATTTCTTATTCACAGAAAGAGTATCAGAATATGCCATTGATATACAATAGCAATTGATGTACTTCTCACACGTCCCTTGCCAAGGAGCTTGAGGCATTGTGCAAATCCGGGGCACTGGGCCAGTAAAAGCCGTTTCGTAAACATTATGACTATGACAGTAACTTATCATTAAAACTTGTCAGTTGAGAGTCTTATCCATACCAAAGTGCAGAAAAAGTGGGAAAAGTGGGAAAAGTCCAAAAACAACATAAAGAATGCCAAATCTGTTCATTTACTAATAGTTTGTAAAAGTACCCCAAAAAAGGCTTATCTGAGAGTATTAAAAAAGCAGGGAGACATGGAATGAGATTGTTTTCAGAGGATAATGTACTCTGTGCTTAGCAAAAGCACTAGCTAAAATGAGACACCTGTGAAGCAGGGAGGGCCACACTGGGGAGACATTGACAAAGTGGTCTTGAATGTGTTCGTGGCTCGCACAAATACAGCTTTAAAAGCCACTCAGGTGTCTTTACAGCTAAGTTACATGACAAAAAGCATTCAAAACATAAGCACAAAGGTACAAAGCAATGAGCAAAAAAGTAGCTGAAATTTGCAGAATATGGAGCAATAAAGGAGTCCTGCAAAAAGGGAAGAGTAATAGTTGAGCCCTGTGCAACACCTGGACTGCTGCTGAGATGGCAAAGAAGAAAATTATGCGAAAATTCTTGATTCAGTGAATCTCCCTCAACAACAGAGGACACAGAGGGAGAAAAAAAATTTCCTCCCTGCTGTTTCCCTGCCTATAGCATAGCTTCTGCTTGGCACAACAGGAAGAGGGAGCTCAGGTGTATTCAATTGCTAATACTGTTAAAGTATTCCCAACAGGAAGAATCTAAATTTCCTTGTATAGGATACAATTTTGAAACAATATTGCCAAGAAATGTCATATGTACATCATGGGAAATCACATTCGGAAATATAAACCCAGGAAATTATCAAAACAAGTCAGGTAACTGCGCAGCTAGCAACAGAGAAACTGTCAGTGAGATGTTCAGTCAGGTGAGATGATGAGAACAGATCAGTAGTGGTATATGTCTTAGGACCAATAAAGAGGCAACAGTAAATCATCATTTGCAATTCTGTGAGGAAGAAGATACACTGTGGTGTGGATTTTTGTGTGAAACAGAAAAAGATGACTGTCAGCCAGTCATACAAAAATTTATCATGTTCTTGAATAGAATCATCCATGCAGAGAAAACAGTATTCAACCCAGACATACTGCTTCCAATTGCACCACTTCTTATATGTTGTTTGCTGCAGTATTGTTTACATGTGAACGATAGCTATAACAATCACTAGATCTATAATAATGTGAAGTCCAAATTACAATGGACAGGTCAGTTTAAAAAGCACCATGGAATGAAAAGTAACCTCCTGTGAGGTTTTAAGGGGAATACTTCAAGCAACAGCTGAAAAATCAAGGTACCTTGTCCAAAAGATATTGACAAAGTATTTGCTATTTTATCTCCTCGAACTTCTGTTTTCAACATTGTAATCCACTGTTCTACATTTTACTTCGATTGAGTTAGCTTGATACATCCTTTAATCCTCAAATCTCATCTAATTCTGGTTTTGTTCTGTTGTGCCAAAATCGCACAGCATAATCCAAATTGCACAGACACCATCTAATCTAGAAGGAACTCTGTGATAGAATGAGGCCAAAATTACCAAACTAATTAATAAAGAGATCTGACTTTATATAACCTAATTCACACAGAAGCAATCTAACTGTGGTTATTACTGTTGCTATGTATTTTTCAGTGAGAATCAAGGAGATGATAGATAAAATATAAAAGTCTGAGACAGTAATTCCAGGTATCCCAAAGGTTACCCTGTCAAGCTAACAGGAAGTTCATCTCAAGCACCTGTCCAAATCACTGTTCCAAAACCTTTCCCTCATCATACCATCCAACCTATCAAAAAAACAAGCATTAAAGAAAGACTAAGTGGGCAAACCTATGATTGGAGCCTCTACTCAGATAAAACCAGTCACCAAAAAAGCACAGCTAAAGACAGAGGAAATTATGACATTTACTATTTCCCCGCAAACCCATGACAATGACTCACAGAATCAATTGTACCAAAGAGACAATTGCTGGGAGCCAAGAGGATCATCAATGAAACAAATAAACAACAAAAAAACCCCAGTAACAAAGCGCACAAAGGAGGAGACTGTGATCTCATCACAGAATCCTGTCTGAAAGAATTTCACGGCTGTAAACATCATGGAACTCAATCTAATTGTGTTGTAGGTTGAAGGAGAGGTTTTAATCCCTACTGTTTCATGAACTCTATTCAGGCCACTAAGGCATCACTTGGTGGATTGCTGCAGTTTTAAAAGAAACAAGGGCTTAACATCTTTTTGGTGAATGCAGTCATAAAGATGAGTTTGAAGCCTTAACATTTTTCTGTTCTTACAGAAAAGCTTACTTTTGCATGATTATTCATTGGAAAATGTCCTTAAGCTAAGGAAGTTTTGAGTGCCACTGAGAAGCAAAAGTGATCAAAAATATGTTAAGGAATCATCACAAGGTAGAAGTCACATTAACTATGCAGAGGCTGTCTCTTAATTAAACGTGCTCTGGAATTAACAGACAATTCCTACAGGAACTCACTTCTTTGCTGTATTTCCTTGCATCTCATTTTTAAACAAACCTACTGCCCCAAGTACCCAACAAGTACCATGCACCTTATGATAACACTGGTGAAAATGAAAGCAAGCCTTGATCTAATCAGACACGAGCAATGAAGGTCACGGTAGAACTTCAAACTGGAGGGAGTGAGATTTAATAGAAAGCTAACCAATTGAAGCCATATTTCATAAAAGGCTTCCGGAATCTTAAAAGTTTTTTAAACAGATTTTAATTTTTAAAATTCACTACTTATACTCTGCAGCAGAGTATGTGAATAATGCTTTTAAAAGCATTTACCTCTATAACATGTGTCACAGTACTGATTATAAAAATTTGTCCACCACATGCAGCCCAAATGGTGTCTTCCATCACCAGTAGACTTCTAACAGGCAAAACCCCCAACTTCACTATCTTCTGAGGGTCTGTACTCCACGCTCCATCTTTAATAAAAAAGAAGAAGAAAGGTTATACGAAACAGAATTGTAGTATCTGTTTTAAAACAGTTTGGAAAATATTATGTCTTTGTTTATTGCCACTGACTTAGGAACACCTAGAAAAGAATCAGTAGACAAATCCACAGACCTTCATGTGAAACTTGTAAATATACAACGAATGGAAGTAATGGTACTACAAAGCCTATCATTCAAATTTCTGCAACTTTCCACTTCAAACTAAGATTTTTTTTTTTTACACTGAATTTTACCTTCCAAACTAGGTTTGTAATTAGAACATTAAGGAAAAACACAACTATTCATATTAGCCGAGCAAATTTTATCCGAATTAATTGATTAACAAGGATTTCCATGTTGCTGTTTTCATATAACTGCTTTCCTTTCTGGAGGAAACGCAGTCAGAAATCCATGGCTGTAACCATTTTCTCACAACTAAGAAGGAGCTCACAATTGACGTGTTTTAAGATAAATTAACTTTCAACCAGGAAAGAATGTGAAAAGCATTCAGTTTCAGATTCTAATGTATTCACTTTTCCTGTTTTTCTCCAGTTATAACACAGTTTTTTATGGACTGCATTTGGCAGATCCAAAGTCCGTTATGCATGTACAAGCTGCAGAATCAGTGATTCAAAGACCTTCTGACCAGAAGTGCGTGCCGCCACTCACCACTGTGGTCAATCCCACTTGACATCTCTTTGAAGCAAGTATAAGCAGATCGTTTCTCCCCAAACTTAACAGCTAACAACATGAACTTATTTAAATATTTGTAGTTATGTCTTCTATATTTACATTTTGACATACTAAACAGAACAATTATTTTGATATCAGCTTATTTTTATCATAAGCATTCCTTTAACATAAAACACCTACTACACTGCACTTCTGCCCGTTATGCCTTAGTAGCAATATCAAAATATGGTAACTTATCTGTGTTTACACTGAGATAAAATACATGTCAAAACGGCCCTATTTCTTCTCTTGAAAGCCTTCTTCCTGCATAAGCTACAGAAACATTGTCCACTTTACTGACACTGGTTTCAACTTAGTATCCACTTAAGTTTTGATTTATGAGACCAAGGTAAGCACATCTTTAGGCGAGCACTTATGTAAAATATGTTTTTTTTTTTTTTTTTTCTCTCTATAACAGCCACTTTTTGCTTAGGTACAAGGGCCACCAAATTTCCTGCTTCATGAAAATAGGAGCAACAACAATAACGATAAGCACCAGTTTTTGAGTCCTTCTGATTGCTGTTGCCATCTGCAATTATATAAGCTTCGCTGACTCATTCCCAGAGTGTGACTCTGTTCTGAAAGCATCTTCGTAAAAAAGACATTTAGTTTCAGGCTGTCACAATCATTTTCAAGATTTCAATTTGTAAGTGAGAACAGTGTTTCCAATTACTAGCCCGCAAACTCTCCCAGCGATGTCGAAGTCATCCTATGATCTTCATGACTCATATGTACCATTAGTAAAAATGAAACCTCTGGAAGAGTTTTTTTTTGCTAGCTACCCCATTATTCTCAAATTAAACTCTCAGGTGGAGGCTGCCCATACGCCCTGAATGCTTTAACCACTGTGCATAGTTCAGTGCAAAGGCTTCCAAAAACATGAGCTGCATGTGTGTGCTTGGCCTTCTCTGTATAAAATGCATCAACTGTAGAAGCCATAGCAGCTGCTGGTTCACAGCTCCAAGACCATGTTTCCTTTTCAGGGATAAAAGCTGCATAATTCTAGTACAGTCCTACTGTCTCTTCTGAATGACAAAGTCTGAGAATTTGGACAGAGAGAAAATGTGCTTAGCAAGAAGTCGTCTTCTTTGTGAAGCTAATTTTCAGACTGAACAACAAATTTCATCTACAGAGAAAACTTCTCACTGAACTCAACAGTGCCTCTTCTTAAATATATTCAGTAGTCTCTAGACAAAGCATAGTTGATATTTAAGTGACAGGTGAGTGGGGATTTTCAGGATCTCAGTTGTGTACTCTAGAATTTAAATTTTGTTCAAACCTCATTTCAGGTCTCTTTCTTTGGATCTGGACTTTCATGCCCTTAGCTTCCAAGTGATTCTTCAGATAGCTAAGAACTAATTTTTTTATCAGTTTTGATCAAGTCTAATAATTAAAGTCATTAACTATCAATTGCAACTGAGCAAAAAGGATAATTAGCGCCGATGTCAGGCAGATGTTAATTTCAAAATACAAACTCAAAAGCAATTTAAGGTAAAAAGGTAGAGCTCAATTTTTACTGGCCACTAGATAGAAAGTAGGAGATTCATCAAATACGCAAATCAAAACTCATTTTCCAAAAAAAAGTTTTCTGCTGCTGCTATTAGCACCGTTAGCTTTATGAATTCAGTGGGATGTGACACATGAAAAATGTTAGATGCAAACCTAATGTTCTTCATATTACCATAACTTTATTCAAGGCAACTCCAATCCCCACTTTGACATCAGCACAGGAAAAATCTGAACATGAGTATTCCTCTACTCACAGACCTTTAGCCATGTGATATGGCTATTCTGTCGTCCTTTTTTGTTTGTTTGTTTCTTTCTTTCTTTCTTTTTGGTAAGCATTGCTCCCTTCTAGATCTGAAAACTTCTGAGATGATAGTGAACAGAAGAGGAAAAACAGGGCAGGGAGGAAGGCTCTCTAGCTTGATAATTAGGACAGTATTTAAATGATAGGTCAGCTGTGTTCTTCTCCCTGCTTCAGTGAATGTTTAATTAATTATACAAAGTGGGACAGCATCAGAAGGCTTTGCTTCTCTCTCTCCTCTTATTCTGTGGTGGCCAGGGAAATCTCTTAAGAGTTTGGAAGCAGGGGTACAAATCCTCTCAAGCAAGGAAAAGGATTAAGCCTGCTAATCCAACATACTTCTGTGAATGCTTTAACCACAGGGTGCTGGCTAAAAAGGAGGGAGAGAACTTTTTTTTGCTGACCAAGAATTTTTTCCTCATAGCCAAATTACTTGGCAAAAGGCTGGAGAACACCCATAGGACTGTCCATAGAACTGTGGCCTGTTCTAAAGTTTTATTCTATCAATACCTTATTTCTATTCTTTAAATAAAGCATTGTTTTAGTTTTAGGAAGGTTTTCTGGTCATCCTTGTTTCCGGAATGCTGAAAAGCCAGACAATAAACTTGTCTTTTACCTATGAGGTAAGTATATTACTGTATGAAATGCAATACGCAGCACATAGAAAAGGCTAGTTTGTACTGTGAGCAAATACAGGGTCGAAGCCTGTGGAAATAGGGAGGAAACAGTGGGAGAACGGATTGGGATTTACTTTCTGCTTTATGAGAGAAGTCTATACTAATATTAACAACATATAAAGATAACCGTATTCGCAAATTTTAGTGGACTGGGCTCTTAGACTGACCTCATCAAGGCAGATACACTTTTACTATGGATATATCAAATGCCTAGTACATACGACACAACAGTCTCTGGCAGTCTCTAAACATTACTGTAACAGAATAGGGATCAATCAATAGGGATTGCAGGTGCAGTTATTTGCAGGAATGAGATGTATCTAAAAAATCTCAGTACAATGTCAAATATAAAATCAAATACAGTCTTTTAGAAATAAGATCTCATAATTTCTGATATTTACTTATTAGGTGAATATTTAAAACATGAGAACATAATTTTTAAGCACTGTTATTGTTATGCACTACTCTCTGCTTTATGCCACTGTTTATAAAACCCTCTGTAACTTACATTTCAGCATTGGGATATAAATTATAGCACATATGGCCATCCTTCAGTATTCATATCAGGCTGCTCAGCTGCTTCAAAATAAGAAATCTATGCTCATAAGATACAGCTAAGTCTTTCATGCATAAGGGCATTATTTCCATTAATGCATTTCTGTCATATGCCACATGATTTGTATGAAGATACTTTCAGAAAACCAGTATCCTTCTTTTCACTCAAACTGAATCAAGTAGGTAAGAAAATGTTAAAGCAGCATTCATTTTATAGGATAGAATATTGGCCATTTTACTTTTTCTGTGTTTTGTTTCCATATAACCCAATGAAAGGAAGAAGTATTGTTTTATCATTTGTTGGTGCTCTCAAGCCTTTATACGATACAACCTGATAGAATACATTTTTTCCCTCAAAAGTCGTTTTACAGTTTGTAGTAATTTTTCCTTCCCTTCCGCTCTTTCAGTAGAGTTGAAGTTAACATGCTTTTCTGTTGGTAACTTCCTCTTTTGCTTAGCAGCTCTATTGACGATTTCAACAGAGCTGCCAACATAGCCCTGGGAATAGTGGTTGTTAGTTTATTTGTGCAGTGGAGCACAAACATTTTTTCCATCACATGGTACATAAACCGGCATTATTGAGGGATAAATTGGTAGATATAGGAATAAAAATAAGTTTTACACATTACTTGTCATGTGGAAATAAACTGAGGGACTCGGACCTGCCCTTCTAAACAAAGTGTAACTAGGAATATACTGTGCTGCACATACATATAGCCATTTTTTTCTAGACACAAACAAATTATGCATGCTAAATAGCAGGACAAAACTCTACCTAAGATTATAGACACAGGTAGCCCTGGAAGGCCCAGCATGAGATAAGTAAATAAGAGTGACTGATAGCAATGTCAGGATACTCCTAGTACTGTTATCAGGGGATACTGCCAACAGTGATATTACAGTTGAGATACCAGTGTTTATTTCTGTTTCAATGGCACTGCTCTAGTCCGTTTCCTAACACCTCAATATCATTTCTTATTTTTCACAGCAACACTTGTCATTTCTACTTCAAGTGCTGACCACATGCCAGAACCACAGACTCTTCAGGGTGAATACACCTGAGCTCTGAAGTGCAACACCAATCTTTTACAATCTTTTGCACGTGTTCCTCCTTTCTTGCATTTGTCAAAGTGCACGTATCGATTAACAAGACATTAATCTTTCTGATGAACTGATCTGACCTCTTTTAACTTATTCTTCCATTTGCTTTTAATTTCACTCCTTTTCCTTGATATAAATCCTCTGATTATTGATTACTGTCATGAAGCCTTTTTGTACTGATAAGTTCTCAAAGCTCTTGACTAACCCCAGAGATGGCTAAGTTTTTACCAGTGAAGTCTCTCCGAAGAACGTAAAATTCTGTTCTATGCAGGGCCAGAATTGCTTCACTTTTTGTTCTCGTATCATCACATTTACATTTGACTACAGTCCTCGAAGTTCAGGTTTCCTTTCTTTCTTAGAACTTGGGCCAGAACCTAACAGTGTGCATCTGAAGGAAGAGGCTTTGCTAAAAGTCTAATAGCAAGTGCTGCTTTCATTAAAACATATAAGAGGTTTCCTCTTATGAATGTGTGGGCTCAGTTCTCCTTATGGTGAAAGAGATTCAAACCAGCATTTTTTGGCTTCCAGAGCAGAACTCTAGCCACCTAGGCTTTGGCTACTCTGAATGGTATTCCTGATCCCTTCTTCCTATTAAAGCTGATCTACTTTCCAGAAAAGGAATTAAAGACTGTGTGAGGGCAACAGAACAAGAGTTTATGTATATTAAATTACATATTAATTAGTTACATATATAATAGAGATCTCACTTCTGCTGACAGACTAATGCCTTCACCATTACAATACTGTATGAAAGAGACAACATGTCCTCTTCCTCCTATCTTGTGTGAAAAAAAAAAAAAGGAACAAGTCATCCTCAACTTAAGACAATGGCATTAGGAGCGAGTTCTGCGTTGTGAATCACAAGCGGGGATGGGCACTTCTCCAGCCCAGAGGAACCTGGAAATAGAACCTTAAGAAATGCCTTTTCCCAGTTTCTATTGACTTGTTTGGACATTTCACTAATCAGCGTGCTGAGTGCTGTGCTTTTCATTCTCAGGTGGCAGAGCGCAAGGGCTCTTTCCAGGTGCTGCAAACACAAGCTAAAGGCTGTAGGCACTCACATGCCTAAAAGTTGTAGCCATCAGGGTTACAGAAGCAAGTCTTTTTTGTGCATCTATTCTTTAATATTAACTGAATCAAACTCCTTCTGAAATTATGAACATATTAATTCTTCCACCGTTTGCTATGGTCATTCTGAGTTTTTATTTTCTTTGTCCTGTTTCTCTCCATACTCTTTATAGGTCTTTTATGGGAAGGAAGTGTGTATCAGTGCCCTTATGAGAAGGAAGTACCTGGAACTAACTACAGTAGGCCAGGAACAATACACCTATGTTTTATAAAGGCTGTGATTTCCCTTTCCTAAGACGCTTTCGTGAATGAAAGTCAAACATGCACTGACCTTTTTTGCTATTACATCACTCAGATAAAACATCTGCTTGGCCGTCTGTAACCACGACAAAGGCTTTTAAAATTTATTTTAAATACAGATGAACAATATACTTTTTTCTTAGCCTCATGTAGAAGTGTTTTGCCTGCAAAAATTCCTATTAATTCAGCCTGAGGCAATCTCTAAATACATAGCATTTCAGACTTATATTTTGCAAAGTTATTAGCACTGAAAATAAGTTTTTAACATGGGAAAAAAAGTGTCAGATAAACTTTACAATCAATATCACTACCATTCCTTTATACAACAACAGCATTTATACACCAGCAGTTTTATGGTTCCTCTAGTAAGTCTTTTCACCTACATAAAATTAAGGATGTGCTTCCCTTATTTTTAGGACTTCTTATATATTAGTTCACCTACATCCTAGTATTTCTGTGACACTTTCACAAATCACCATGTTAGCTCACGTTTACTAACTGAATAGATTTTAAGGTGCTAGTGCCCCATTGACCTTGTTTTTAATTTATGTTCAAATACATCTAGTTGCAAAGAGTTTATAACTGATAAGTGAAAGCATGGTGTTGGGAGAGCTGTTCCAGTAAAACGTGACTGCCCTCCATAAAGCAAAAAGTGAAACAGTGTATCTTCAATTCTCCCACTAACATGGCATGTATTCCTGTTTCCTATATACACTTTTTAGTTTCCATATTAAATTACTTCAAGACAGTGCTTTTGTGGCCAGAGAGCACTCTGGATGTTGCGGAGTTGACAAAGTTCCCTTGTGAAGAAAGTCAGAAGAGCACGCTTGCTATTTCTAAACAAGCTGAATATTTACATGTATTGAGCCATCTGAAAACAACAGGAAAATCAAAGCTATTTGTGTACTGAATACAAATGACAGATTCAGTAGATCTTTGCCTGCCTACGTAAAGGCATTGCACGCCAGTGGCTGAACTTACTCTTCAGAGGAAGAAACAATGATCACAGTTCCAATAAAACCTGTGAGGTGCATTTGCAGCCTGGAAGCCAGATCTCTCCCTATCATGGGCTAGTACTAAGATGATTAAGGGAATGGAGCGTCTCTCAGATGAGGAAAGGCTGAGGGAGCTGGGCCTGCTCAGCCTGGAGAAGAGAAGGCTCGGGGGGATCTGATCAATATGTATAAGCATCTGAAGGGAAGGTACAAAGAAGATGGCGCCAGACTCCTCTCCGTGGTGCCCAGCAATACGTTGAAAGGCAACGGGCCCAAACTGAAACACAGGAAGTTCCGTCTGAACATGAGGAAAAACTTCTTCGCTGTGAGGGTGACAGAGCACTGGCACAGGTTGCCCAGAGAGGCTGTGGAATCTCCTCCCCTGGAGATGTTCAAAAGCTGTCTGGACACAATCCTTGGCAATATCCTCTAGAGGACCCTGCTTGAGCAGGGAGGTTGGACTAGATGATCTCCAGAGGTCCCTTCTAACTTCAATCATTCTGTGATTCTGTGATTCATGGAATCCCACAAAACACTGCACAACTATTTTATCTGAAATAAAGATATAAAGATAAAATAGTTGTGAATGAAAGCCTCTGACTATAGGCTTCGAATCAGAATGTCTAGTAAAGCAGTGAGCGGAGTTTTTTCCTAGAAAATGACTATATTTAACTTTCACTTTTCACTTTTTTCACTTTCACTCTCCTTAATCTTCTTTATGCTTGTAGGCCAAAGACAAAATAGATGTATGTGGTTGGAAAATGATCCCTATACAGAGCAGAAATCGACACTGATGAATTGCACAACGCTCATTAGACTGCATTCTCTGTTCGTCCTATTTCAGCGCTCAGACTCATTTGTCCGGTAAAATAGGTCAGTGCTCATAAAAACACCCCTTCAGGGCTGATTGCGTCACATGACCGTGGCAGCAACCGATAAGGAATATGAATGCTAATATGCAACTACTGATTTGTGCAACTTTTATGAGGCATGGAGAACTGAATTAACAACGTGGCCAAACTGTAAGGGAAGGCGCTTCAAGATGAGTCAGAAAAAAAACGAATGCCTATTTCCCATCTCAGAGCTTCGGCTATCCTGAAATAGAAAGTGACAGACTTTTTGAATACTTAGCTGCAAAAAAACCTGGCCTCTTTAGAGGAAGGAAGAACAGAGGATTCTATGATTCTGGTCAGATAAATATACTCTGCAGCTCACAATCTAATTCTCTCTGGTTAACTGCTCTGCCCCGTTCCTTTGTAGACGCGCAAGCCATGTGTCCTTTCTTACCTACGCTGCTAGGGATGCTACTCTTCTTTTTCAAGTGTTCTTTTTTGGAAGAAGCTCAGTTGCAGTCTTATGCAACTTTTTTTGGATGCTGCTTGAAAACAACAACAAAACACATCTCAAACCTTTCCCAAACTAAGTCTTTATATTATCTAACACTAGACAATATGTATTACATGTCATTTGTTCCACAGATTCAAGATACTGAAGTTGCCTCTTCAGTGGAAGGCTGGTAGAATTTACCAGCTGAAGAACAGTGACACACAAATGCAGCTATTCCGCTTGTAGAGCAAGTCTGATCCCATAAGCACAACCACAATTACGCAGCTCACATTAAAAAGGTATACCAGCTCTTTGCTGGCTCTGCACTTAGCCAGGTTAGGTGTCTCTGGGCTAGCGTCTCACTTCTTGAGGGACTTGCAAACTCAGGTCTCAAACTCTGAGTAAAGCCTCACGGCTTTTGAGTCAAACTAGCTCTACACTTACGCAGTACGGCAGGAAAATTAGTAACACCCTCTGGAACAAGCAGTTCCACACAGACAAACACTGAAATCAACTCTGAAGAAGCCAGTTCTGGTTCAGCATTACCAGTGACCATTCCTTTACTCCGATTATTTTAGCCAATTATTTAGCTAGATATAAAACAACTGATTGTAATGGCAATGGCAAAGAAGCCTTACTGTGAAATATGAGATGCCCACATAGAAAAGATTTCACTTTATCTGTACAGTAAAAATTGACTCACCATTTCAAATGAGATATACAGGAATTTCTACCAACAGGGAGTTTCTGTCTTTCCCAAAAGCAGGGAAGTAGAGTGAAATTACCATTGTGCTGCGTAAAATACAGTACACCATTTGTTATCTCACATACTCTGGACTTTCACATTGAAGACGAGGTTGCAAGTTTTCAGGGCACAGTTTCAAGTTTTCATATGCATTTTATGGCAGCAAATAAAGTGGGAACAACAGTAAAGAATCTACTATCCATCAGAAAGACAAAAAAAAGTGTGAAATATCTTTTCAGAAGCACACATTTTTTTCCTATAACTGTAGTAACATTAGGTCAGCAGTTGTGCAGAAGAGGAAAAATATAATAGTGGAAATCCACTGCTGCCAAAATATACTGACAGGGCAGTTCCTCAGGATGTTATCAAATCATATCACTACATTACCTTCTGCTTTTGTGTAGACTGCGATGTTCCCATTTACCAAGCCAGCAAACAAGTATTGAGACATATATGCTAAGCTCATAACAGTTGATTTTTCAGGAGCAAAAAAGTGTTGAAGTCGAATTTTCTTTGAGCCTTGGCAACTTTTGTAAATAGATATGCTATAAAAAAAGCAAGAAAAAATAAGCCTGCAAAGTTATGCTATATTTGGTTCTTATTAGAATATGCATCAAAGACGTTTAGAAAAAAAAATTAGAAAAAAAGATTTTCATCTTCCATTCATAGGAAGATGAAGATGAAAAGGACTATCCTGATCCTCCAAAATGTCTATACAGGCAATTTACCAGTACTTAACTATGACACATGACAATACACTTTGCGTTATCTTGGCTGAAGAAATGTTTCTTCAGCCAAGAGACATAATAAGAGTCGTGCCCAATGTTCTTATTAAAAGTCGATCTAAGACTTTCTGTTCGTTTCAGAAAATATGGATTACATGTTCCTGTAGAACTAGGGAAAAGAGAAAAGTTCACCCTCGGACATTAATTACACTTAAACTTTCCTAGAGATCATCACCATGGGCATACCAGGAATACTAAGTAGGTAAGTCTGGAATTAATTGCATTTAATGTTCAGAGATAATCAGTACAATTAGATCTCGGAATCTTTGGAAACATAGCATTTCCCTTAGAGAGAAATTTCTTCCCTTCATTTTATTTATACTGGCTGTAAACCCACATAAAAATTGCATGCTTATGCTCTCGCTAGCTACATCCCAGTTTGTTAGCTTACTGACCCATAAGTTTAGAAAACGTAGCTCCGTTCTTCAATATAAATCAAGTGATGATGCATTAAGGTAATCAGTTCAACCAGAGCAAAATAATTCATGTTAATAGTAAACAGCCATATCATTTATTCGCATGACAAATCCTGCACAATAGCACAATGTAGAAGGTTAACACACTCCTCATGTAATGCTTTGCCATTTTCAAAACTTTCTAATACCTAAAATTATAACATAACAAAAGTAATATTTGTATTTTTTCAGACATGATGTAAAATAGCTTAATCCTCTTTCAAAGAGACATGTTATTTTTATTTTACATACTATGTTTTAAAATCATGTGGAGTGCATTTTTTCTTGATTTAGTTGTAAGGGATGAGTCGAAGTCACTGGCTATTCATACAGTTAAAAAAGAAAACATCTGGGAAGTGTCTCACATAATTTTACTATAGGGTAATAAAGCTAATAAATTATAGTACACAGTACTATAACACACGAATTAGTACCCAGTATAGTACTACAGTACACTAAAAACGAAAATCACCTTCCTTCTTCCATGCCGAGGCAAATAGTAGGCACATTAGAAGCTTTTGTAAGAACGTTTTCAGAGTTAAGAGCCATGTTTAGCTGTTTCGGTTTCTCCTCCTCTGGTATGTAGACCATGCAGAGAATCCGTGATTCCACATTGAAGCATTCAATAACCTTGGGGCTGGAGTTTTGAAATGACACTATTGCAATCTGGCCCATCTGATTAGTACAACTGCCAATCTGAATTAGAAAGAGATGAGAAAGGGCAAAGACTGATACCTGTCCCCAGCAACATCAGCATTAACAAGAATGAATTCTTGGAAAGTTAGAGAGTATATCTCAAAATACATACATGAATATGAGCTTTCCAGGGCTAAGTTAAGACAAAACAAGAATAATTCAGCACAAATATAATAGGGTTTAAAGCATTATATAAGAACAGAGAATTCCCCTGTATACTCATACAAACAGTTCTGAGTTTTCCTTTTTTTGAAAGGAGGAATATTATGGCCTCTTTTGAGGCCAGAGTCATATGCATATGTACATACATAATCTAATGCAATTACAATACATACCTGTGTAATATACTATTTTAATAACTAGTTTTAGTTATCCCAAATATTCTTACAATAAATAATATAGTTGATGCCTGTCCTTTGTGCAGTAACAGGTCTACAAGTAAATGCTGTAACCCAACAGAAAGGGGAATTATTAATACCATCCATTTTTAAACTTGCTGATACAGGAAACTGCTCCCTGATCCAAGACTAAGTATCATCAATATGTCCTCAAATGTATATATTTTAGGGAGCTGGAAAGAGTTAAAAATGTCTGCCTGAGCAGAACAAAATGCTTTTCATCTAATTTCATATAATAAACTTGTTATGTTTATAAGAAACAAAATAGGGTGACAAAGAGGAAGAAAGAACATTATGCTGCAATAAAAAGATTTTATTGGCATATATTTGTGATAACTGTTTAAAATTAGCACAGACAAGAGCAAATTACACGTCTTCTTGAAAAAGAGGACTGGCAAAAACTATTCCCAACTTTTGCTTTTAATCCTGGAGGGTTCTATAATGTTAGTCCTCATAATCACAGCATTGTACTAACAAGAAAAGATACTATAATGAAGTTAGAAGTTTTAAAAATGTATTGGCTATCTCACTTTGCCTGCTGAAATATCTGCATATTTGGGGTCATGACAACACATCAGAATAGTTTTTCCACATACAGTCTTAAATAGATGACTAAAACATGTTTTTTTAAATGTGGAAACAGATGGTGGGACAGTGCGTTCTCATATGGATTTTAGTAGTCTTCATTTTCAATTAGCACATACCTCGCTTCTAAATGTGCCCAGCACTTTGGAACTCACACTGGGCCGCACAAATCATACACAGCAATAAAAAGAATACAGAGAAGACAGTGGGATAACACGGGACAAATTATTAGTCATCCTTTAGAAGTCAATCTAAAATAAAATAATAATAATTAAAAAATCCATGCATTTCAGATTCATATGTTGCTAAGAGTCACAGAAAATAACAAGAAATGGGAGACAACCCCCCTTTTTTAGCATTTAAAAATTAAGCTTACCCAAAGAAAACCATGTTCCATGGAACAAGAATCTGACTCCGTATCGCCAGACAGGTAAGGTTCAGGATTATAGGCAGCACATTCAATCTTCAAACAAAGAAAAAGAGAACAGTTAGCACATTAAAAAGATATGCTCGTTTCTTCCTGTTTCGGCTGTAATTACCTAGGGCATTTAAGCGTATCACAGCATCGCCAGGAGAGAAGGCAAGAGGCCGGTCTAGTCCATCCAGCCTCCAGTAGGCAGCGTTCACTCCGTGTGCATCATTCCTCACAGATTCTTTATCAAGTCTGCTCTTAAAGACATTACACACCAAAGACTACAAACTCGCTACCTGTTCTCCTCAAATGCTTCATGACCTTTATAACTTTTTTCCAAATACCCAACCTAAAGTCATCCTTGCTGTAACTGTTAGCCTGTTACTTCTCATTTTGGTCACCAGAACAGACTGTTTCCTTCCCTTCTGCAGTGACCTTTTACATAGAATAAGGTTGCCATATGTCATGACCCTCCCTGAGTCTTCTCTTCATTAGGCTAAAAATTACCATTTAATTCTTTTTTTTTTTCCTAAACAAATCTGGTTTTTAAAGTTCCCGACTATCTCTGTTTTCCAGCTGTCATCTCCGAATCAGCTCCATAGATTTGGAAGTGCAGACTTTTCAAAACTGAATATATTGTCCTAGTAGAGATGTTAGTAACACTATTAATGAATGATTAACTCTTCTGAACCCTGTTTGTACATCCCATTGGTTATTTGCTCTTTGTAACAATATTAGATTGTTACCAATCCTTAGCTGGTCAGTCTACTAAAAATTACTTTTAATGACTTCCTACTCAACCACCTCTGCAATCTATATTTGTGAAGCTATTTATTTCTGCCTGAGCACACCTTGTGTCTGTTCTAGTGAACGTCATCCCATCTTTTTCCAGATTATTTCTCCAGGTATTTTACTCATTTTGAATTGTAATCCTATTCTAATACACCCACTCCCTCCCAACTTCATGTCATTCTGCCACCATCAGTAAATTAATAAGCACAATCAAGATTTCATCATCCTGTTCACCTAGGAAAATGCTTAAATTAACATCAGATTCAAGATAACTCCTCTAAATTTAAGTCTGTCTCAACTCAGAAAAGCAGGCAAGGACCAATTTATGGGCTTTGAACACAGGCATTTTTATGAGCAGCCACGGATTTCCATTTTCCCTGCAGTATCAATGGCAGAACACCCTAAAGTTTATGTAAACACCTTAAACCATATTAAAGCAATTCATAATAGCATACAGAATGATGTTCTGCAGAGTAAAAAAGTTCCTGATGAGGTGTGGTATTATGTTTTAGACAAAGTTCTCTGTACTGTGTACTGACGTACTTGTCTCAGACAACAATGATGTTGCAATTACATTGCTTGTGATTCTAGAGACAGTACTAACTTAGGCATTTCTACAAAACATGGTAATATATTATTACTAAAGTGAATAGTTAAAAAAAAAAAAAAGAGCGGGTATAAGTTAGAGCGCCAAATTCCCAGTTTAATCTATTTAGTTTTTGAAAGTGCAAAGCATTTCACAATTCTCCTTGACGTCAGCAGGCATCACCAAGCGATGAGCAGTAGCAAAATTAAGGTTAGTTGTTTACCAAACAATTCGCCACAAGGATAAAAGATGTAAACAGATCAGAAAAAGGTAGGAAAAAAAGAAAAGAAGAAGAGCTCACCATGCCAATTTTTGCATGTCTTGCTTAATACATGTTGAAACTGTATTCTGGTAATGGTGATTTACAGTAGTTGTGACAGCTATATACATCACTAATGAAAGAAAAGGCAGCCTGCATGTTGGATGTTTCTTGGGCTGCTTGTTACATTTCCAAGTTAGTTTGTGTCGTAGTCGAAACTGAGGATGTTTTCCATATTTAAACAGTAGTAGCTTAGCTCTCAACTTTGACAGAAGCTCTTTGCAGAACGATGGCCTCAGGTGCAAATGTGCTCTGATGGAAGAAATTATAGGCTCCAGGTACTTACTGCCTGTCAGTCTGAGCAGCATACTAACGAGCAACAAGCTGGGTCACTTGAGCAAACAGTCTCTTCCTGTTCCTGAGCTGTAGTCCCAGGGCCAAACCACAGCCGAAGCAGAAAAACAAGAGTGCTACTTGGATGATTTTGGCCAGCAGTATGTAGGCCTTAGGAGCATCAGGAATTACAGCCGGGCTCACAGCCATATGCTCTCTGCAGGAGCTGCAGAACTAGGAAAGCTGACCTGGAGCTCGGGCAAACACGGGCACGCACCGTCTTCTGCTAAGGTGACCATGGTAAAGATTATTATACAACTGTAAAGGCAACAGGCTTTCATTTCCTTGTAAAACAAACGGATCCTGTTGTACCTTGATTACCAGAGTTGGATCCGGGCCTTCACGGCACCTGGCATGGAAATATAGGACTTACAAACACACTGGCTCTAAGGAAACATAATGTATTTTAAATTTTATTTAAATTTGTTGGGTTATTTAGCCACTGGTGACTTTAGAAATTGCTCAGTACAGTCCAAGCTGAGTGTTTAATATGATACGAATGGCTATGGTTCTATGGGAGACTGGAGACTTTCAGTAGACTTTGATTGCTGTAAACTGCAGGGCTCCTCTGAAAAACAGTGTCATAGGAACGGCTCCAGTTAATACCCTTATACATTTCAAATGCATTTCCAGTCAGCAATTACTTTTCCCCTAATGTCCAGGCCTGTAGGCTCATTCTTGAAATGAGGCTGCCAGTTGAACCTCCTTCCTGTGTAGACTGTCCTAGCAAAGAAGATCTGCAGACTTATTCAGGCTTCAAGTGGTATCCATGTGATAACGTCAGCATTATGATTCTGGCCATACATACACAACTTAAACCCATCAGTGTTTTTGCACAAGCATAAGTGACTGACTGATGACTCAATAAGAAATCCTGTTGATGCATAGCAAGAAATCGTATCCAGCACTGTTCCCTTTGACATGCTGTATTTATTTTCATCACTAAAGCCAGTGGTAGATTTGACTTTAGAGATAGGAACCAAGGCGTTAAGACCTTTTTTATATCCCCTTTCAGAATAGAACTACATTTTTATATAAGACCCCATAAAATTTTCATTATTTTAAAACTCTTGATCTTTGTGCATTCATGAAAATCTGAAATTTGAGCAGGAGTCAGTACAGTTACACCAGTACAGGAGATCTACTGGTGACGAGATTCCTACACTCTGATTGTAAATTGCAGTTTATTTTGGCACTCCAAACAAAGACAGGGAAACCTCAAGATCAATTCAAAATTCCTAGCAGCTTTATTTTCATTGAGTGCTGAGCTTACATCTGAAATTGGATATCATACCATATAAAAGCAAACACTATGCTCCTTGGTGTCTCAAAGATGGCAGGTATTTCGCACTCCTGTGACCCCTCTTGGAGTTTCCATTGCTGTTGGTCTTACAGCAAGGTATATATTAGCAGTAATTCAAGAGAATGGGGCTGAACTTAAACTAACAGAACTATCTACAGTATGGTATCCTTTAGACATTGCTATTTCATATAACAGTTCTGTTTACCTTAAACTCCTGCTGTTTGGCCATCATCACTGGCATGTGTCTAACAAGGAGAGGATGTTTCTCCTTTTTGATCTGATTCCCATCTTCTTCTACACAGAACCAGCCTAACAGGTTATCCTCTGCTGTAACGGCAAGAACAAACAATAAATATCCCACAGCACTTTCACTGAATAATTGCTTACTTCCCTCCATAGAACAGAATAAAACTTTGTTGGAACTGATCAGGCCCTTTTCATGCCATCTACGCTTTGGAAGGAACAAATGATGGCTTAAAAGTATGAGCAGAAATTCAATACAGTATACCACATATATATGTTAATGTAAAAAAGAACACCTAATAGTAGCAAAATAGGAAGGGTGTTTTCTTAGCAGTCTCGTCAGATTTTCTTAATTATCTTGCCAGTAGGATATTAAAAGAACAGGCAGATTTGCTTAAAAACGCTACCAAATCTCATTTTAGACTATCAAATATGATCTATAAACACCATCATTTCTCTGCCTAGTGTTAAGTGACATCACTAACGACTACTATTTATCATAATTATAATGCTCTTCCTCCTGTAATGATTGAAATGTCTACTCCTCCTTTTTGTTTTTATTTTCTCTGGCTTCAGTGAGATACAAAAATCATCTTCTTTTGAGCAGGTGCTTTCTGCAAGTTGCATATCCTAAATGTATTTCAGTTTAGGCACACAAAGTGCCAGGTAACTTTTGAAATTAGGCTTCTTTGGAAATACAGGAGTCTAATAACATTGTCGTACAGGACATTACTTCTTGCTCCCACTGATATCAGGCTTGTTCCTGACAATCTCTCCAGTGAAGATGACAGGGTTATGTTAAAAAAAAAAAAAAAAAAAGCCCCCCACCACCTCAAACTTGTGTTTCAGGCATCCACCTATGGAAATATCTCATTATTTTAAAATGATGAGATATTTCATGCTCAGAAAGCTAAACAAATGAACCCAATAGCTTTACTGCCATCTTCTAGCTAAAATCATTCCTAAGCCAAGACTGAGAAATTTGACCCTGAAAGGCGTATGTTTGAAAAGTTTATAAGATCTGAAGATATAAGTTTATAATGGAGTAACTTTCCACCTCTCTGTCATCTACTGTATTTCACTAATTCTGATGTAGATATACCAGCTTGTAATGATTACGGCAGACTTTATTAACATATTGTGGAAAACATATTCCTTCATAATGAATCTCTCATCCTTTCTGGAACATCATTACCTTGTAATTATATATAATCACTATCTACTGTATTGCAATTTTAACGTCTTCAGATACACTTTCACAAAATAATTTCATTTTCTGTTAACATACTGTACATGGAGAACTATCTCGACAGTATAGTTCAAGTAACTAAGAATTACCAAGGGCCAGCTTAGCCATTTGTAAATTGTTGATCCAAGACTGTTTGATTGCAGGGGTAAATGTATTGAATACAGCTGTAAAGAAAGTAGGCCTCCCAGACCTGCAAGACAGGAAAAAAATAAAAACAAAAAAAAGTCATTCTTGAATGAAGTATGAGCATGAGATACAGTCATGGCAAAAAATGCTGAGCCAAATGATGAAATCTCATTATTTTCTTATATTTTACAAAAGACACAGCTCTGATATAAATATGCAGACTGTGATGTAATACGCCATATGCCCTTCTTCTGACATATTTTGCATGAAATTATATGAAAGGTTTACCCTTTGGTAAATCAGTACAACAACAGTGGCTACTCCCTATAAGGTGTCATTGCCACAGCTACTCTAACACGTGGAACACCACACCGAGGAACAGGAGAAAACCTACAATGCGGCAAAAGTCTACAATGTTCCAAAATGAGTGAAAATTGCCTTTGTAATGACATGGCAAGAGCAGTCAGAGGCTAACTGTAGAGAGTGAAGAGGAGGAAGAACTAAAGATTCCCAAATCCTCCCTGATACATCTATGCCTAAGACATAAGTGCATTCAGAAAACTTCAGAATCAAGGTTACAACTCACTTGTCCTGCTTTCCTGGAAGTTGTAGCTGGATTCTACAGCGATCTGCAGCTCTGATTTCATCTTCTTTTTTCAAGATCAGTTTTTGTAAGCCTGATGTCCAGTCATGGGCTACTGATTGGTTTAAGTTCTGAAAAAATAAAAGTTTAGAGTTAACACCAACCTATTGGCTTATTTCCAGCACGCTAACTAAGGTGATCTTTGCACATAACTAACAATTCCTGAAACTGGCATTTTAATCATGAATAATTTAGCCAGGTTTGTAAATGCATTTCAAAAATATCCTTAATGATGTGATATCGTATCTTATACCATGGTTTTACTCTTACATTGTTCACACCTTGATGATACACAAGTTATATTGCCAAACATTTGTCTGACTAATAAACATGAATTTGCTTCAAGTGTGTGCATGACACTTTTACTTCATTTCAAATTAATAGTTTAAAGACATCCCAAATTTTGTCTCTAAAAAATTTCACAGAAAAAAACTATAAATTATACTTCCAATATGTTTTTACTCAAATATTTGAGTCAAAATATTTACATGGCAATCATGCAAGGTCTTTGTGTGACGAGAATGTGTTTAGGTAGGATGCTGAAACAATAACCCCCCGACTGCCTAGTAAGTAACCACATGGGTAAGTATATTTGAGTGATGCTTAAAGCATCACTAGTAGTGAGCTACTGCTACACAAAAGTACAGTAATTTCAAACAATTAGAATTTTATGAAATTGAAACTTTTTTTCCAAAACAAAGAAGCTGACCTCATTCCTCAACTAAATTGTTTAAACTAAGTTATGCATCTTTATCTGGAACATTGCTTAAATTTAACAAGTGCAAAATGCAGTTGTATACTTCAGTGGCTAAATGTCTTATGTTTGATCTGTGGTATGTATATGCCCAATAATTCATCTGAAATTCGTTTCCAAATACTTGCAAAATTTTATCTAAAACTGCTGTTTCTATGAACTTCCTTCACAGTGCATGTTTTCACCAAGTTTGATTTTTTATTTAATGCCCTTGACTCTGAGGGTAATCATAACAGAGACTCATATACATATTTCATATACATATTCACATGCGTGCACACAAACACATACACACATTTATAGCCTTACAGTTGCAGGCAGGAGTTTAAAAATGTACCCAAGCACACGTAAACCAAAAGGCAAAAGAGAAAACAAATTTGTAAAGCCCTATGATTGTGGAGAACTCACTTCGAAATTCAGTGTTAACTTACTATATCTATTTGCCAGAATACCTGCTGAAAAAGCAATGTGAATAAAGCTGAAGCAAATTACTTTCAAAATTCCACTGAAAATCCATCAATGTTTTTATGATTTGCACTTGGTTTTAAGTACAGCTACTCCCTGAAAGCCAGGATTATGTGCTAGGATGGGCATTAAGTGCTTTCTCCAGAAATATTAAAACAAAAAAACCCCGACCTTCCTACTACTACATTGTCTGACTGTAAGAAAGCAATTTCTTAAGACTAAAATGTAATTCTGTTTCCATATAAGCTTAGCAGCTACTGAGCAAATGCAGATACTTGTAGTATCCACCTACACGCAAAAACAATAGAAAGAAACAAGATTAGAAAGCTGTAATCTACTTATAACTCTAAACATTTAACAGTAAATGAATTACTGGTGTTAAAAATGATTTTACTCTCTACAGAGAGATCCGAGGGAGAGATAACTATACTACTTCACAGCAGGAGTATATTTGAAAATAAATCCAGCTTGGTTTATTACCTGGTAGTTTCCTCTAAGGCCACCTATTAATTGACTAATTTGACCAACTACATTCAAATCATGTAAGAGGTTCTGCAGATCATGGTACAGTTGCCCTGGTCCCATATACAGCTTGTCTGCAATGAATAAAAACATTCGATTATATATAATAAAAAGGTGCAATTCTCAGTTAGAGGAGGAAAGCATGACAAAGGTAATACTATTAACATAGATCACTACTTCTTAACATTGTGTGAAATTTGAGCTTATCAGAATAGGCTTTGCTCCTTCCAGATCATAAAAACAACTAACACACTGATACGCAGCTAGGCCTTCACTACTTCTGAAAAACAGTGTATTTATATATGTACATTATGGCCCTTTTACTTTGCTGCTCCATATGCTTTCCATGTCCCCACAGCCAGATAATTGGGAAATACGCCATAGGAAATTATAGGTAGCAGTGTAATACTTTATTTTATCTGTGCATATCCTGGTGTTACCATAGGCATTTCCTTTCTGTTCAACGTATTATTGCCTTTTACAGTTACAGTTAAGACTAGAGGTTGTTCATCTGCTATGAAGGAGAACACTATCTGTAATTTTAATAAGCATGCACTATAACTGTGCCAAACATCAAAGCTTCACTGACTTCAGCAAGGACTAACTCCCTAAAATCTCTAAATGACGTTGAATTTTTCATTAGCATCAACCAGCAGATTTTCTATAATACATTCGTTTAAATGTCCTTCACGAAGATTGCTTTTGATCATGTGAGCAGTCCAAAAAAGTTATTTGCAGCCTTCACCATACTGGTTTAAAGCTCGTCATTTGTTAAACCTTGACAACAAGACACCTCTGGATCATATATCCACACCCGAACTCT